GGCCCCGGGAAGCAGCGCCCGCACTCCCCGCACCGCAGGGCGCTTCCATCGCGGGCAGCCCCTGCCGCCCCAGCCGCCCCATCGGGCAGCTGCCCGCAGCTGCGCTGGTGTGCGCTCAGGCTCACCTGCAGCTGGAAGCTCTTCCCACATGTGGCGCAGGTGAAGGGCCGGCCCCCGGGAGACGCGGCAGGGTGCTTCTTCTGGCCAGGCTTGTGGCCAAAGCCTTTGGTCCGGCCAGGGTATTTACAGGGGTCACTGAAGGATCTCGGGGCCTGGCCTGGGTCCAGCACAGCCTCTCCGTTGTCAGGGGAGGAATAGGGCAGCCCCTCAGGCCCAGTCCTCGGGTTCAGCCCCACCGGAGGTTTACACCTGAAATTCCAGCCCCACCGGACTCCCCCAAGGAGCCAGTCCCCTGGTGGGGTCTCGTCCTGGGCCACGGCGGGGCTGGGGTCTCCCAGGTCCCGTTCAGGCCGGGCGGGCTCTCTGAGCCCGAGCACAGGGTCCTGGCTGGGGAAGGAGCTGCCCTGGCTCTCCCAGGCGCCTTCCTGGACAGGACTAGGGAAAAACCTTGTGGCTTGGCCTGGTCCAAATAGGGTCCCGTGGGCCTCTAGGTCAGTAGGGTGCACTGGTGTGGCCACCACCTCCTCTTCCTGGACTTCAGTTTTTATCACAATTTTTACATCTGCTGAGAAAGACAGAAAGACCAGATATCATTCTGTCCCCTCCTGGGCTTAGAGCAATTATCTGATACTTTCATCTGGAGATTCAGTAGCTCCTCTGCCCCTCCCAGCTCAGCAGAGCAACCCCAGGTGGTCATGAGGCTGCTTCAAACCCCATGTGGGGACATCCCTGTACTAGTACCTTCATTGCAAGTAAAACCACCATCACACCTGCTTACGGGATTCCATTTCTACTTTGGCTGTTAAGGCCAATCGAGAATTTATCTCGAGGAAGGAACTCTGACCGCCGGTGGCAATGTACCGGAGGGAAAGGCACTGGGCTGGGGATCACCTGAGGTGGCTCTGCGGCTTCCCACAGACCAGCTGTGGGCTGCAGGATGATTTTTAAAAGTCCTCACCTAAGGATATGTTTGTACTGATTTACAGAGAGAGAGAAACATCAAGGTGAGAGAAACACTGACCTGTTGCCCTCCGTACCTGCCCCAACTAAGGATCGAACCCACAACCTAGGTATGTACCCTTATTGGCAATCGAACCCACAACCTTTTTTAAAAATATTGGTGGTGTATCAGATGATGCTCCAACCAACTGAGCCACCTGGCCAGGGCTGCAGGGTAATTTCTTAACCAACAGCACATCTGTGAACCCTGCTCATAGGGCTGTGTGAGGGTTACCAGATAACGTGTCTGAAGACACCTTGCATGCGATTTGGCATGCAGCAAGCATCCAATAAATGTGGCCAGCTAGCTAATAATAAAAATATTAGTAAACAGTAAAAATGTGATTATGTAAATGTATTTGAGTTTCATTTCCTGAAATTTTGTATCAGGGATCTAGGCTTTTAGCACATTTTTGGAGTGCTAAAATATAAAGTAACAGATAACAGGCCTACAAAATAGAAATAAATAGAAAAATAATACATAAATTTGGAAGTTTTCTTCCCAATTCTGGCCTTTGGACACTTGTCTTTGGTAGTGCTGATATCTAAGAAGTTCTTCTGGCTTGGTTTGTTTTTTCTTTGCCAGAGAGGAAGAGGAGGCAGGTTCTGAGCCTGGGCAGGAGGTGCATTCTCTCAAGGGACTGGCTTATGAGCACTGACTGGTTAACATGAGAAAAGAACGGCTGGAAATATGGACACGCTCAAGGAAGGCTGTCCAAGCCTAAGAATCTCGACAGAGATGACAGACAGACCATTGAGCCCTAACATCCCAGATACCTAATACCTGCTGGCGGGCAGGACAGGGCAGGGCAGCTCAACAATGAGGAGGCAGCTGGGGCCTAGGCAGCCTGTAGGGCAGATGTGAGTCTTTCCCACCCTCTCTCTGCCACCTGTACCTTCTGTGGAGGCCGCCGTGTTGAGCTTCAGGGTCCCGTCTGAACATGCGGAGGAGGGGTGGTGGGGAGGGAGATCTGCCTGCCAGGAAGTAGGTGGGATAGTGGTTGAGAAGTTGGAGTGGACGCCTGCAATGAAGAGATCAGAGCCTGTGGGTTAGAGAACAGAAGCAGCAGGAAACCCCCACAGGATAGACAGAAGAGACCCTGAGACCCGCCCGGGCATGCTGCATGAGCAGACCCCCAATGCCCCTGAGCCAGGTTTCCTTTGCTCCGCTCTTGGAGGCACCAGGAGGCTGAGGTCACTGACTTATTTCATATCGCCCCTCCTTTATATAAGGCAACGGGTGCCTTAAATGCCCAATGCTGGGGGCAAGAAAAGTGCAGCTGATGGAATGAGGCAGAGAAATACCAGGGCAAGAGCCTCACCAAACCCAGAGGTGCCCAAAGTGTTCTTTAGTGCAGGTCCTGTCTTAAAGTGAGGAAGCTTCTGCGCTAGTCAGGCCAGATGTTTGAAAGCCCATAGTTCCCATAATGTGGCTCCCAGGAACGCCTTACCCCAAGGCCTGCCCTGGGCTCTGCCTCTCGTTCCTGGTATCTGCTCCCAGTTTGAGCCACTCACCAGAAGCAGCATCTGTAGAGACGTCTCCCGCTCCGGAATCCAGCTGGCTGAGGCCCCATGGCTCCTCCCCGATATCTGGCTGTCCAGCTGCCCACGCTTCTACCCCCAGAGCCTGCTGCTCCTGGAGCTGGAGCTCGCCCTCCTGCTTGATCTGCATTAAGAGGTCAGGGGCAGGAACCGGGGCTCCGGAGCCTAAGAAAGGGAGAGTGTGTGAGCACAGCCTCAGGGCTCCCTGGCCCGGAGGTGGACACACAGCCAGGCAAGGAAATGGACCTCTCAAGGGTCACACAGCGTGAGAGCCTGGTAGGAAGGGAAAGAAGAGCAAACAGGGCCTGCAAGGGCTCCCAAGCAAAGCATGGCATTGAGCACATGGCACTGAGCACATGGGGCAGGTGGGAAAGGGTGAGGAACACACCAACACATTCTCAGGGCTAGACCACTGGTACATGGGAAAGACTGAGCCGCTCTGCGGGGGTCCTGCTTTCAAACACACGCAGGTATTTAAGTGAGCATAAAGAAAAAGATCCTAGGTATGAGAATAAGGACAAACACAAAGTAAAATCAAGAGTTGAGTGGGAGCTAAGTGACCCAGGAAATTGCTGGGACAGGATGCAAGCCTTAAGGGCTGGGGCTTTGATGTTCAAGTGAGGCAAGAGCAGAGAGCCACAAGAGCCACAGGAGCCACAGGCTCTGTCCCAGCTGTGAGACAGGGACCAGGAAAGCTCCATCTGAGGGGCCTCTAAGGAAGCTGCCCTCTTGTCCTGGACCATGGGTGGTAAGCCACCCATAAGAAATCAGAATCCCATGCCCACACTGAATTCATACTACCCATACGATGTAGGGACCCTAACCTGAGAAATTCACACAAAGATTGACCGAGAACTACGGCAACCCAGGAGGCCCAGCACAGGTAAATGCAAACCTGCCCCACAGGGGTCCTTAATAAAAAACTAAACTTACAAACCAGAAGAGGAGCCAAATGGCATGACAGTTACTGCAGAATTCACTTCCAAGAACTACAGAAAAAAGAATAAGCTGAAAGATACAGTATAGTATATCTAAAATATTCAAAGAAATAAAGGAACAGAATCTCTAAGGCAAGAAAAGCAAACCATTTTTTAAAAGGCAGATTTGAAGAAGAACTAAATATATTTGACATTCTAGAAATGACAACATAATGAAAAACACAATGGATGGCTTAAAAATAGACTGAACATAACTAGAGAGAAGACTGGTGAGGTGTAAGACAGATCTGGGAAAATAATCCACAGCACTCCATTGAGAGATAAAAAAAAGAGAGAGAGAAATAAGAGACATGGAGCACAGAATGAGAAGTTCCCACACATGCTGGGAAATCCAAGGAGAGAATAGAGAAATGAGTAGAGAGGAATATGTAAAGAAATAATGATTGTGAATGTTCCCAAATTGAAGGCAACGAGCCCACAGTTTGAAGGGACACACCAATTCTTAAGTAGGAATTTAAAAAGATTAACCTCGACAATGTTCTGTATAATGGAATAACAGTAAAGACAAAATCTTAAAAGGTACCAAGGAGCCCAGCCCACGTGGCTCAGGGGTTGAGCGTTGACCTATGAACCAGGAGGTCACAGTTTGATTCCCGCTCCGGGCACATGCCCAGGTTGTGGGCTCAATCCCCTGGGCAGGAGGCAACCAATCAATGATTCTTTCTCATTATTGATGTTTCTATCTCTCTCTCTCTCTCCCTTCCTCTCTGAAATCAGTAAAAATATATTTAAAAAAATGAGAAAAATAAACCATATTTTAAAAGAAACAAAAAATTCTCCTGACTCATAAATGATATGATTGTCCCTTCAGAATATTTGAGAATCATCAATTAGAAAATTTATTAGCATTAATGAAAATTTTATCAAGCTTCCTAGACAGAAATATGAATAAATGAAAGAAAATGGATTTTTGTACACTACTAGAGTTTTAAGGGAGCCCATCAATGACCATTTATCTTTCTGTTATGGGTCATTTTTTTTTCTTTTTTTATTGAATTTATTGGGATGACATTGGTTGGTAAAATTATACAGGTTTCAGTTGTACACTTCTGTAACACATCATGTGTGTATAGTATTGTAGGTTCACCAACCCAAGTCAAGTCTCCTTCCATCACCATTTATCCCCCCTTTACCCTCTTCGATCCCCCTCCTCTGTCGTGGATTTTAACAGAGATGTAAAACAAAAGAGAAGGCAGGTGAGGGTACACCATTTTTCTCACTGATGATGAGGATGCAGCTTTTATCTGTGGGTGAGAGGGGTTCTTATGCTGACCCTGGAATCAGGAAGCCGCCTGCCGGACCACGTGGTCAGAGAGGCTGTCCCAGCAGAGCAGCAGAGACCACCTGTCCCCTGGGGTGGCCAGCTGCCCAACCCTTGCTCCCAAACTCTGTAACCATATAGGTCCCTGGTGGAATCTCTGGTGGGGTGCCTAATGAGGCGGGGGGGGGGGGGTGA